CCTCTCCACAGCTCCACAAAGAAGCGGCACAGATAAGCCCCCGCCCTCACCCCCGGGGTTCTGCAGTGTCAAGGTCACCTCACCACACTGTCCTGTGCACAGCCGTTGCTGGAGAGCTGTGGGATGGTCACACAGTGGTTCTAGAAGCCTCTTTCCTCTTCATATTCACAGCTGCGGCAGCCCAGAGGTTTTGAGGAAGACCTTTTTTTTTTTAATCCTCCAAGTTTCAAGATTTTTGTCACCTGTGGGACCTACAGATGGGATGAGGAAGGATTTGCCATTCCAGCTCCTATCACCAGGCCAGGGTCAAGGCTGGGAGGGGATGGGGCCAGGTGCTAGAATCAGTGGTTTCCAAGGTTCTAGGAGACCTAGGGTGAGGGTGTAGTCAGAGCCAGCCTGTCTTTACCGTGGCCTTTGGGCTGGCAGAGGACACTGGTGGAATGGGGTCCGACGGGTGGGCCCTGGGAACGGTTTGCAGCTTTTTAGTCCCCCGCCTTGGGTTCTGGGCCAGCACCGAGCTCCTTAGCAGGTCCAAGCCTCCGCTTCTTTGGAAGAATCGTGTTGATTTATAAGGTCTGTTACAGCTCCAGCAAACAAACTATAAGCAAGCAAAACAAAGTTGTCCTTATTTATTTTCAAGGAAGCATTTTCTGTTTTCTATCCAACACAACTAAACTTACCATGCTGTGCTACTCTTGGGCCCTAAAATAGTGCTCTTTATTTTGGGAGATAAGCAAACAATTCAGTTTGGTGCATGGGAAGGGAGCAAGAGAGCCATGAACAGTAAATGTGACTTGGAAGGGAGGCTGGAGTGGGTCCATGAAGGCAGGCAGCTCATACATGGGCATGAGGATCACTGCTCTGGGAGCCATGCTTTGGAGGACCCCTCACGGGTCCTCCTCTAGCCCTTCCTGTCCCAAGGGCGCCGGGAGTCTGTGGAGCTAACCTCCCCCAACTTTGCTGTCTATAGTGTGCTCAGGATACTTGAGAATTCACCAGCCAAATGTCCCCAAGGGCTGTGTGTCCGCCTCCCCAGCTGTGTCAGAGCATACAGTTTGTGGAGCTGTCTTGTCCTAGTGGTGGTCAAGGGCAGCTCTTTGAAGGGGCAAGGGTATGGACAAAGAAAGGTGGAACGTCCACAGGCCTAAGTGTGGGACTCCTGATAACGTGTGCGGGAGCCAAGGGTGGGACCAGGACACAGGCAGCTGCAGACATCTGAGGTGGCCAGAACCCCAAGGAGTCGGAGAAGTCTACACAAACATATTATAGGAGTTCAACAACTTACAAATATATGATATTAAAGAAGTAGAGATGGTGATGAACACTATAAAGCAAAATAAAGCAGGTCAAGGTGGGGATAGAGTGTGTGGAGTGGGGAGCTCTTTTAGAAAGGGAGATCAGGAGGGGTGCCTGGGTGGCTCAGTCGGTTCATCGATTGCCTTCGGCTCAGGTCATGATCCTAGGGTCCTGGGATCGAGCCCCGCATCGGGCTCCCTGCTCTGCGGGGACTCTGCTTCTCTCTCTCTCTCTCCCTCTGCCCCTTCCCCCTGTTCGTTTTTTCTCTCTCTCAAATAAATGAAGTCTTTAAAAAAAAGAAAAAGAAAAGAAAGGGAGATCGGGAAAGTCATCTCTGGGATGGTGGCATTTAAGCAGAGACCCAAATGAAGTGAGGGAGTCAAGGGGCAGGGACATTCTGGCCCAGGTGCCTGGAATAGCAGTAGGAAAGGGACAGAGATGAAGTTGTACAGATATGTAGGACGACGGGCTGATAGGTCAGGCCTTTGTAGACTAGAAGGATTTTTTTTTTATTAAGAGGATTTTTATTCTGAGAATTTCGGGAAATCATTGCAGAGTTCTGAGCAGGAGACTGCCGTGATTTGATTTACTCTTAAAAAACTTGACAGTAGGGGGGCGCCAGGGTGGCTCAGTTGTTAAGCGTCTGCCTTTGGCTCAGGTCATGATCCCAGGGTCCTCCGATCTAGCCCCACATCGGGCTCCCTGCTCCTCAGAGAGTCCGCTTCTCCATCTCCCTCCACCTGCCGCTCCCACTGCTTGTGTGCTCTCTCTCTATCAAATAAATAAATAAATAAAATCTTAAAAAAAAAACCCAACTTAGGGTAGAATAACAAGAGTGGAAATGGGAAGACAGGTAGGATGTTAGACAGCATTCTTTTTTTTAAAGACTTTTCCAATTTATTTAAAAAATTTCTTATTTTTAAAAATGTGGTAAAACATACATAACATAAAATTTACCATTTTTAAGTGTACAGTTCAGCGGCGTTGAGTCCGTTCACATTGTTGTGCAATCACTATCCATCTCCAAAACTTTCTTCATCTTATAAGACTGAAACTCCGCACCCATTAAATAACTCCTCACTTACCCCTTCCTTTAGCTGCTGGCAACCACCCTTCTACTTTCTGTCTCTATGAATTTGACTACTTTAATTTTTTTAATTTTATTTTTTTAAGAATACGAAAGTATTTTTATTTTTTCATTTAATGATGCAAAACACAAATGCTGATTTGACATCCATTCCCTTTATCACTTTTTCTGTCACATTTACGACTCAACAAATTGGTGGATCCGAGGGAACTGCTATAATCAGTGTATGGAGCATACTGCATTAGTGTTTCAGTAGTTTATTCCAACCCATTTCTTCTTTGGTACGCTAAACCATCTGCATCAGGTTGTTTGATGAGATAGATCCGCAAGAAGATGGAGGTGGCCAAGGTCAGTCCAACTCTCAGCCAGTCGGGTCTGTCATGTGGTAGCTTCTGAATGTAGAACTTTGATCACACTGAGGAGCTGCTTGGGAGCCCAGCCAGACCCAACAGCTTGCAGAAGGGGTGCAACGATGTGGGTGGTGCCATCTTGCTCTTCAAATGTACCTGGGTATGCGGTAGATGCTTTCACTTCTCTGGGGTATATACTCAGAAGTGGAATTGCCGGATCACATGGAATGTAATTCTATTTTAAATTTTTTGAGAAACCACACACATTCTACCAGCAATGCACAAGAGTCCAATTTCTTCATATCCAAGAGTCCAATTTCCTCACATCCTTGTTAACACTTGTTATTTTCTTTTTTTTGGTAATGGTCATCTTAATGGGTAGGATGTAGTATCTTATCGTGGTTTTGACTTGCATTTCTGTAATGATTAGTAAGGTTGCATATCTTTTCATGTACTTATTGGCCTTTGTATATTTTCTTTGGAGAAATATCTATTCAAGTCCTTTGCCCATTTTTAAATTGGGTTGTTAGTTTTAATTGTTGAGTTTTGGGAGTTTTATTTTTATTCTGGACATTAATCCCTTATCAGATATGTGTTTTGCAAATATTTTCTACCATCGTGTGGATTGCCTTTTTACTCTGTTTATGTGTCCTTTGATGCACAAAAAGTTATAGTTTTGATAAAGTCAAATTTGTCTACTTTTTCCTTTTAAAGCCTGTGTCATATTCAAGAAATCATTGCAAAATGCATGAAGCTTTCCCCTATATTTTCTTCTAGAGTTTTATAGTTTTAGCTCTTATGTTTAGGTCTTTGATCCATTTTTAATTAATTTTTTGTGTATGGTAATAGGTAAGGGTCCAGCTTCATTCCTTTGCATGTGGATATTCAGTTTTCTCAGAACTATTTGTTGAAAGTGTTTTCTTTTCCCAATAAATGGTCTTGGCACCCTCATCTAAAGTAATTAGAACATATATGTGAGAGTTTATTTCTGGAATTTCTATTCTACTTCATTAGGCTATATATCTATCTTTATGCCAAGACTATACTGCTTTGATTACTCTGTGTTGTAGTAAGTTTTGAAATCAGGAAGTATCAGTCCTCCAATTTTGTTCTTTTTCAAGATTGTTTTGGCTATCTGGGAGTCCCTTTAGACTCCATATGAATTTTAGAATAGATTTTTCTACGTCTGAGAAAAACATCTTTAGGATTTTGATAGGGATTGTATTGCATTTGTAGATTGATTTGGGTAGTATTGATGTCTTAATAATATTAAGTCTTCCAAACCATGAACATGGGATGTCTTTCCATTTATTTATGTCTTCTTTAGTTTCTTTCAGCAACGTTTTGTAGTTTTCAGTGTACAAGTCTTTCGTCTCCTAAGTTAATTCTTAAGTATTGTTTTTGTTTATTCTTCTTGATGTTATTGTAATTAGAATTTTTTTTTAATTTCCTTTTGAAATGTCCATTGTTAGTATATAGAAATGCAACTGATTTTTGTGTGTTAATTTTGTATCCTGCAACTGATGAATTTGTTTATTAGATCCAACAGTTGTTTGTGTGTGGAATCTTAAGGGTTTTCTACATACAAGATTACATCATCAGCAAACAGACATAGTTTCACCTCTTTCTTTCCAATTTGGATGTCTTTTAGTTCTTGCTTAATGTTACTGCAGCATTCTATCCAAGAAATGATGAAGATTTTAATGGGGGTGGGGGGAGTAAGAAATGGTTGGATTTAGGACACATTTTGCAGGTAGAATGAATAGAATTGGTTGGGCTTGGATATTGGTTGTGGGAGAAAGAGAGGAGTTAAGAATGACTTCTAGACTTACAGATAGAATAACTGGCTGAATCATTGTGGTGCCATTTGATTAGATGGGGTAGATGCTGCTGTGTATGCTTGGGAGGGGCCATGTTAAATGTATCCATGGATGTGGACAATATAAATAAAAGCAAGAGAATACGGTAGGAAGAGGTCAGAAGACAGACTTCTGAGGCAAAGTCACATTTAGAAAAGGAGTAGAAGAAAAGCATCAGAAAGGAAGGCAAGAAGAAGCAGCCCAAGGGGTAGAAAAAGAATGAGGAGAGTCAGAGAAACAGAAAGGAGAAAGTTTCAAGAAAGTGGCCTTTAATTGCACAATGAATTGGGGAAGGAAGATAAGAACTGAGCAGAGACCTTTTATGTAAGCAATGAGGAGGTCATTGGTGACCTCCAAAAGAACATTTGTAGCAGAATGGAGAAAGCCTCTGCCCATGTGCAAGTAAATCAGAAAAAGCAAGTCGGTGATGGGAAGTGCTCTAAACAGCTCTAAAGTGCTATACCCATAAGGCATGTAAGGCAGCATTGCTGTTACTGTTGTTAAGACACAAGAACCTTTTAGGAGAACTAATAGCCACTTAATACTCCTGAGTCTAGCCCATCACATCCCCAAGATCTGTTGTGAAAGATGCTAATCAAAACAGTCGTTAGAGGGACAGGGTTAATCCAGTCTTCTTCCTTTTAGATGTAGTCCCTAACTGAAATAGTTCCCCTTCTTCTTAAGAAGGAAGCCAGACCAACGCCCCCACCAAGTCCTATAAAGCCCAGACAGACCAGCTGACCAAAGTTCCTTATTCTCTTGCTGTTAGCTGAAACTTTTTATAAAATAAATTTGCTGTTTCACTTTTCTTTTAAATAAGCAAACTGAATTACTTGGAGGAGGAAAGCAGGAGGAATAGAGGAGACAGAGCGAAGCCAGCTGGAACACAGAGACCTTCGGGTGAGCATTTTTATCTTTGTTTTGTTCATTCGTTATTGAGAATTGGACCTTGCTGATCACTTCATGGTCAGAAGCATGCCTTCTGAAAAGTAAGTTTATTTTGTTCTACTGTACATTTCTTTCTACCATATACATGGCTGTTTAAAAGATATTGGGAAAGTACAAAAAAAGGAGAAGAAAGCAAAACCACCACTAAGCTAATCTCTATTGACATTTGGGGGTGGGTATTTCTTTCCATTCTTTTTTGCACGTCTGCATATAATTTTAGTTTGATTTCCACTGTTGTGTCCATACAGCATGGATTACTTGATGTTCATTTTTTCCATTAGAGCATAAACTGTTTCTACATTGCTGTAAATTCTTCACAATCCTAATTTTAAATTGCTGGATACTGTTGCATTGAGATTTACCATACCTCGCGCAAGCATTCCCCTGGTTTTGACCAGATAGCATCTTTCCTATTTTTCATAGATTGGGTCATTTTATTACCTAAAATGTATTTTTTCCCATTCAGGGGAGAGAAGGTTTTTTGGGGGAGAGGAGGTTAAATTTGAGAATGTAAGTGTCAGTGGTTTTGCTCAGAGGTTAAATGAGAAGGAGAGCATGTGTGAGAGCGTATATGTGTATCTGTTTATTACCCCTTTGGGACCTGAATTTGGTTTAGCTGCACATTCAGCCAGAATCACCTGATTCTGAGGAAAGTAAAAAGTATCCCTAGAATAACTGAAACTTTGATTTTGGAGATAAGCCAGTCATCTGTAGTAGTTTTTGTTCTGTTTTGTTTTTTTCAAAAAATTTCCCAGGTTGTTCTAATGTGTGGCCAGCATAATAATAGCTGTCATTCACACCTAGGTCATTTGAAATATTTTCCTGTCTCTGACACATACCTGAGATCAATACATATTAAGGGAAGGAGAGGTACAATTTCAGGCAAGCCACCCAAATCTCCCTTTGTATACTATATTAATAATGCAAAAATAATTTGTAGGAAACATAAAATGAACAAAACCTCTAGAAATTTTTAAAAAGATTTTATTTATTTATATGAGAGAGAGAAAGTGAGTGAGAGAGAGAGAGAGTGTGCACGAGTAGGGGGGAGGGGCAGAGGAAGAAGCAGACTCCTGGCTGGGCAGGGAGCCCAACCCTCTATCCCAGGACCCCAAGGCTCCATCCCAGGACCCCGGGGTCATGACCTGAGCTGAAGGCAGACAGACGCTTAACCGATTGAGCCACCCAGGCACCCCAAAACCTCTAGAAATTTCTATCACCCACCTTAACCACATAAACTCTTGTGATGAGAATCTACAAATTTCAATTTACTAATGCTTTAAAGAGATGGATTTGTTTCCAGTGCATTGGTTAAAAGTTAGAGAGGTTGGGGCTCCAGAATGCTGCAAATGAATCAAAATTATGCCCAGCATCTGTTAGTATTCTGCCTTCCTACCGGCCTGGGGTCATAAGGGGTACAACACAACATAAACAACACCTGTTCTGGAAGAAGAATAACATCTTTTTGCAATGTGCTCATTGCTATGTATCAGGATCACCTTGGGCATTTTTAGTGTCTCATGTGTATTCCAGACTCAGGGACTCCCATTTTTCAAGTTTGTCTTACACACCAGACATCTGAGGCACACTAGTCCTCCAAGGCTAAGCCTGGAAGATAAAAGCCAAACAAGGGCTTGTACCATTACCCAGGGGGCTCTCCTGGATGCAGTAGCCAAGCTGGCTGACGCAGAGAAAGGCAGGCATTTGTTTGGGTTGCTCAGCTTTGCTATAGAGCCTTATCAAATGATTGTCAGAACCGCCAGCACCGCATCCGTGATTTTCTCGGGGCACTGACCATTGCCTCCTTTGTACTGGAGTTACTTATGTGCAGGTCTCAATCCCTCTGCTGACCAAGAATGCTTGAGGATGGAGTCCTTGCACAAAACCTAGCACATGGGTTCCATTAAGAATAGACAGAGGGGCGCCCGGGTGGCTCAGTCGTTAAGCGTCTGCCTTCGGCTCGGGTCATGATCGCAGGGTCCTGGGATGGAGCCCCACATTGGGCTCCCTGCTTCTCCCTCTCCCACTCCCCCTGCCTGTGTTCCCTCTCTTGCCGTGTCCCTCTCTGTCAAATAAATAAATAAAATCTTAAAAAAAAAAAAAAGAATAGACGGAAAGGTATAAATAAATTAATTCATCAATAAATGTGAAGGTTAGTTAACAGCTTATGTTTATCGCTGTTGAAACTATTAACTTCTTTATATTAACTCATCCATGGAGAAAATGGTACAATGTCTGGCAATATTTAAAGGAAAACTTCTCCTATTGGAATGATGACTTGGTGGTGGTTTGGGCTGACGCCCTTGACGAAGAAAGAAATGGAAGCTGGAGCAGTGAGTTGGAACCAAAGAATCACAAAGGTGGAAGGGTCCTCAGGAAGAGCCAGGGTCAGGAAAGAAAGCTTTTTGAATCTCTAGTGTTTGAAAAGAGATTTTAAGGAAAGGGGGAAGCAGATTTGAAGAAGAACAAGAAGGAAGAAAAGAGGAGAAGGGAGAGAGGACAGGCCAGGGGAGGGACAGAGAGAAGAAGCAGGTGGAGGGAAAGAGAGGGGAGTGGAGCCTATTTGCTCTAGAGGTTTTAAGATTAAGCCGGAGGAATTTAAAAGGATCCAGTCCGCATACCTTTATTGTACATTATAGAAACAAGAATTTTTTATCACTAAAGAAAAACTATGTCCCACATAATGGTCCTTCTATGAGGCTGTGGAGATAGCATTTTACCTTGTTTGCGCCTCTAGTACAGAAGACGTGATTGTCTACAGAGTACTTGGGGGCATCACAGAATCTTTAGAGAAAGTTGATTTCTTTTTATTTTGCGTTTTACCTTGACAGTAATTTTGTTCTCTTATAAATTCTCTGAGAGAATTGAAGCCAGTTTTCCTCGTTAGCTATAGCAGACACAAATCCTTACCAGGAACTTGTTGGGCATAGAGTGAGAAACACAGCTGTCAATCCTCAGATACATAAATAGTGTCCCTTTCGGGGCGCCTGGGTGGCTCAGTTGGTTGAGCGACTGCCTTCGGCTCAGGTCATGATCCTGGAGTCCCGGGATCGAGTCCCGCATCGGGCTCCCTGCTCGGCGGGGAGTCTGCTTCTCCCTCTGACCCTCCTCCCTCTCATGCTCTCTGTCTCTCATTCTCTCTCTCGCAAATAAATAGAAATAAAAAAATCTTAAAAAAAAAATAGTGTCCCTTTCTACAGTGTTTAGCACAGAGCACCATTTGGGTCTTTTCTGTCAACCCCCCATTACCCTCATGCTGTTGATTCTGTATTCTTGTCCCTAGAACCTATATTTGAAGAAACAGTAAGTTTGTGAGGAAAAATACGCCAACATCATTTTGCTGCAAAAGATCATTGGGAATTTTTTTCCTTAGAAGATATTTATGGTGAGACATAAAATGAGGGAGGTGAATAATACCTTCCCCAGCTCATTCATTGGTCGTTTACTGGAGCACATTTATGTGCCACGAGCTGTGCTAGGGCCTGGGAATGCCCCAGTAGACAGGTGAGACCCCATTCCTGCCGTTGGTGGAGAACAATCTGGTGGGTGTGGATAGACAGGAACTACGGCTGCCCCCAGGGGTAAGTGCTGGGACCGGAAGCCCATGGCGCTGCAGGGCCAGGTGGAGTGGCAGCCAGCCAAGACCTGGAGGGGTCAGAGAAGGCTTTTTCTGGAAGAAGTGATGTCTAGAAAGAAACCTGAGGTGCGGTAAGAGATGGCCAGAGGAGCTGGAGCTCGGAGTGAAGAGACAAGGGAGAGCCAGGTGTGTTTCAGGCATTGAAATAAGTTCCATGAGGCTAGAAATGGATTTTATTATTTTTATTTATTTATTTTTTTTTTTAAAGATTTTATTTATTTGACAGAGAGAGACAGTGAGAGAGGGAACACAGCAGGGGGAGTAGGAGAGGGAGAAGCAGGCTTCCCGCCGAGCAAGGAGCCCGATGTGGGGCTCGATCCCAGGACCCTGGGATCATGACCTGAGCCGAAGGCAGACGCTTAACGACTGAGCCACCCAGGCGCCCCTAGAAATGGATTTTAGTGAGGGAAGTTGTGGGGAGAGAACATGCTGGTTGACAAGATCCTCATTGTGATATGCCTGGAGTTGAACTTCATTTTGATGTGATAGTGGGTTTTAAGCAGAAGTCAAATGGTAAGATAGGCATTTTGGAAAGGTTACTCTAGCCACTGTGTAGAGAATGGACTGAGAATAGCAAGAGTGGAGACAGGAGACCGTGTCCTTTGTGCAGGGGAAAGATGACAACCTGTACTGGGGACCACCATCAGCTGGTCCCTGTGATGGAAAAGAGGTGTTGGTGGAGACGGGTGCGTAATGGGGCCGGGTCTGTCTCGGAGACACTGGACAGTAGGGCAGGCCGGGGAAGGAGGAAAGCCCGTGGTTTGCTTTCGTTCCATACTCTCTCCTCTTTAGGCTACAGATGCCCACTGCGCACACGCTTCTAGCAGCTTCCTAGGGCACTTTCCCGGGCGATTCCCCTGGTTTTCCGTTTTTCCAGACATATCGGAACATTCTCTCCTTATCTGTTGGTTTCTTACTCTCCTATGCAGATAGCCTACACCCGGCATACTAAAAAGTTCTCAGGCTCTTCTTATCTTGGCAACAGACAGGGTTGTACGAAGCATGATAATGCATCAACTGTGTATGAGTGCGAGGCTCGGTGCAGCTGTGTTGGAGGCTTTCACCTGTGTCGCCTCCTTTGGCCTTCTGGATAACTCTAAGAGGTTGAGTACTTGCTGATGCTCACACAGGTCGCAAGGGGTAAAACTGGGATTTTGCTCTTGTTGTGATTTAAAGCTTTTCTGTGATATCATAATACCTCTATATCATTCCAGGAAGCAAAGGCTGTTTAACTAGCTACTTTTGTAAATAATTTCTTGGCTCTTAGAAGTGAATTTAATGGCGGCATAGGAAATGACTTGGTAGGAGGGAAGAG